AGCAAGCAACCCCAAGTTGGTCAATTGATTGTCCTATTATAGGATAAGAAGTAAGGTTTTCAAAGATTATTAGAAGCGGTCAACCAATTTTATTAATAGCCTGTCTTAAAATAAAGTTAGAAGCTTATCTTAACAAGCCTAATAGAGTTGAGGACACCTAAAACAAAAATTTTGAAGTTAGGCTTTCTTCATGCCCTTTTGGCTCTTGACCTGGTACTAAAATTAGTCTATCACTTCTACTTAGGTCGCAAACTTTAGATTATTCCAACCTAGGTCAAATATTATCCCTGCATGGCCAATTTGTCGAGCTTTGTTCCCAAGCCTCTACCTATGTATTAGGTATATTATTCACCTCAAACAAGTGTACCATTAAATAGTGCCCTTATCTTTTGGCAGATTAAAAAAAATTTGAAATTGTCAACTCAAAAGAAAGAGAATAGAGTATGAAATACATGATCTTTGGCTAATGAAGATACCAGGATTTCAATGAAAATCTTGAATATTGCATGTTGTGATAAGCATTTTCACATCTCCGACCAAATGTAATGATTGGAAACGCACAAACGTGTTCAAGATGCATGCAAATAACAAGAGGTGCAACTCAATTATTAATTGTGGGGGAAATATGAATATTATTTCTAAAGCAACCTTGCTTAAATTTGGTTTCTAACTAAAGCGATGTCTAGCATCTTTCAAGTGGCATAGATGAACCAGACATTCATCAATGATACTAAGCGTTGTATAGTTCCTACCAAGACGAGTAATTACAAAGATAAGTTATGATGTGATGTCTTTCACATAGATACTATGTGTATCCCCCTTGATACTTATTTTAAGAAATAAATGTTCTCCATTACACACACAGATAATACTTATGTCTTCAAGTTCGGCGGTTCTTTTATCCATCTATTTCCTATTAGACCTACTGAGATTTCCTCTAGGTAGCCACACAAGCCTAAATCCATCTGAATAATATACCAAGCTAAGCTCCTACTACTAAGCTATAACTTCTAGCAATCAATCTGTAGACTACCACAGGTCAATATGTGCCTCTAAGTTTGGTTAGACCATTTGAGGCCTTGACCAACACCAATACTTAGACATTCAAAGGACTTGATAACTCCTACATCCAATTCAACCCAGCCATCTAAGATCCGAGTAGAGAGGAATATACAATTTTGAATATATTCAAAGATTAAACTCTAAAAAACCTATAAATCTTGTTCCTCCGACATAACGTGCAATTTTTTATTCAACAAAATCATTTGCACAACATATATTGAATTTTATAGTAGAGTTAGAAAGCATAATGACTTGGATAATAAGAGAAGTTCTGACATGGTAGCCATCAAGAGAAGCACTCAAAAACACATTGAAGGAGATTTTATCATGGATCGTGTTATTGTATATGTCCTGAACATTTTGTGAAAGATATAAAAAATTGCATGTGAAGGCATGTGGTCCTTTCCAAATAGGTAGGAAGATGAGTTCTAATGTTTGAGTTTAAAGTTTACCAACTAATATATTTATAAGCTTTGTTTTCAATACTGAAGATTTAAAACCATACTGAGTCGAAAATTGCCTATTGATTCTCCTGCTAGAGAATTTTTTACTATAATTGTTGCTTCTACCAAGCTCATTATTCCAATTCCACCTTCTTGCTAGAATGTTGAGGGCATCATTTCAAATGAAGTGAAACTTGATAAAAATGTTGAGCACCTACGATTGAATAGATGGAAAAGTAGGCCTTACTGAAATGTTAATGGATGACAATAGATGAACTGTAAAATTTCGTTACTAATCTCACATCATATTATGGTAGTTGACGTAGTAGAGTCAATAAAATACCAATTATAAAGAGTCAAATCAAGAAAAAAAAAGTTCTAAACAAGTTTTCTAGCTTTTTTAATCTCATACTTAGTTTTGACTAAATTACTCATGTTTATGTTAAGTTTACTGAATTAGATTGAACCATATTTCAGGATAATATCAAGTCAGAATATTAACGTTTTGCTATGCTTAGATTTAATCATGGGTAGGACTAAATTTGATATAAAAACTTTTAAACAAAATTAGTTTTATAAAAAAAAAATTCATAGCTTGTATTCAAGTCATTGACTGTAGATGATTATCGAATCAAATTACTTGAGGCATATTGAGAGTGCCTTCCCTTGATCAAATTGTGTGTGTTCCTTGCTCCAAGTTTACATATGCCGGGCTTCTCTCCTTTATCCTTTCTCTGTTCTTCCCTCATCTACCATGCATATTGCAACTATGTATTGTAAACTGGTTTATTTAATAATCATTTACCATCCAAGTGGCATAAATCTGATAATCTTCTGTGGTTTACCTCAATTGAAAGAAGTGCACACTCAAAATGTTGAAATATCTTTGTATTGTACTTAATTGATAGCTGATTACATTTTTATTATAAAGGTAAACCTTTTCAGCAAGTTTCAAGATAGGAACGAACTACAGCATTTACATAAAATCTCCTTTTCTATTTGCTGCCCTCACTAAACTACAAGCATCTATACAACAACAACAATAACAACAACAAAGCCTTAATCCCACTACATGGGGTCGGCTACATAAATCCTTTTTCTCCATTGCATCTTATTTGGTGTCATATTTTCAATTAGTTCTACTAAATTAAAATCATTTTTTATACAATAAGCCCAAGTCTACCTAGGACTACCTCTGCCTTTCTTAACACAAGTCGAATCTAAAACATCTACTCTCCTAATCGAATCATCAGATGGTCGACGTTTAATGTGACCAAACCATCTAAGATGACTTTCTCTAATTTTGTCCGTCACATGAGCTACACCAACCCTATCACGGATATATTCATTTCGCATTTTGTCAATAAGTGTAAAGCCACTTATCCACCTAATCATTCTCATCTCGGCAACACTTAACTTATTATTATGCTTCTCTTTTAAAGGCCGACATTCAGCGCCATAGAGCATTGCAGGTCTCACCACCATTTTATAAAATTTTCCTTTCAGTCTAAGCGGTACTTTTCTATACACAAAAGGCCCGAAGCATTCCTTCACTTCAACCAACCAACTTGAATTTTACTATTAACATCCCCCTCTAGATCACCATTGCTTTGAACAACAGACCCAAGATATCTAAATCGTTCACACCTTTTAATAATTTGATCACCCAAAGTCACACTTCTGTCACTAGAGCTACTACTACTACTAAAATTACATTCCATGTATTCAGTTTTAGTTCTACTTAAATGAAGGCCTTCAGACTCCAATTTAGACCTCCGTAATTCAAGTTTTTCCTGGGCTTTTTCTCTCATTTTATATACGATACTCGTTTTATCCAGTAGAAGGATATCATCAGCAAAAAGCATACACCAAGGTACATACTCTAGTCGAAGTCCATTAAGACCATCCATAACTAAAGCAAAAAGTTATGGGCTTAAAGCTGATCCCTGATGTAATCCAACAAAAATAGGAAAATATTTGGTCAATCCTCCTTCAGTTTGAACACAAGTAACAGCTCTAGTAAACATATCTTTAATGACTTGAATATAAGTCATATCAACACGTTTCTTCTCAAGAACTCTTCAAGGATATCTCTTGGAACCTTATCATAAGCTTTTTCTAAATCAATAAAAATCAAATGTAGATTCTCCTTATTATCTTTGAACTTCTCCATCAAACCTCTCAATAAATGAATAGCTTCCGTAGTGGACCTGCCCGGCATAAATCCAAATTGATTATGAGAAATCTTTGTAATGCATCTTAACCTATGTTCAATTACACTCTCCCATAACTTTAAAGTATGACACATCAACTTAATTCCTCTATAATTTGCACACTCTTGTGCATCCCTATATTCTTAAAAATGGGGACCAAAATACTCTTCCTCCACTTGTCAGGCATCTTTTTAGTTTTTAAAATAACATTAAAGAGTTTAGTAAGCCAAGAAACTCCCAAATCTCATAAATATTTCCACACTTCAATTGGGATATCATCAAGTCCTACGGACTTTTCACCATTGGTTTTCTTTAAAACATCCTCAACTTTTTTTTTACTAATGCGACGGTAAAAATGAAACGTTTTATTATTATTCACGATATTAAGATTACTAAGGTCGATCGTATTTTCAGAAACTTCATTTAAAATTTTATCAAAATAACTCATCCACCTATGTTGAATATCTTTTTCTAAGAAAAGTACTTTTTAATTTTCATCTTTAATGCACTTTACTAGAGTCAAATTTTTACTTTTTTTTCTCTTTGTTTTGCCAGTTTATACATATATTTTTTACCATCCTTAGTATCTAATTTATTATAAAGATCATTAAAAGCACAATTTTTAGCATTATATATTATTCTTCTAACTCCCTGCGGTCTGTTTGATATTTTTCTCAGTTCTCTAAGTTTTTACATTTAAGCCAATTTTTATAACATAACTTCTTATATTTTACCTTTTCATGCACATTATTATTCCACCATCAACTTTTTCTATTTATAAATTTTTTTTCTTTTGATTCTCCAAGCACATCTTTTGCTATTTGTTTAATAGTGTTTGTTATTGTTTGTTATTTTATCTCACATAACATTTGCTTCATGAACATCCCAAATTTTGAAATCTTAAATTTTACTCTTAAAAATAATTTTATTTATCTTTTAGGTTCCCCCATCTAATTCTACGATAATGAGTCTTAGTATTTTTTATTTTACAACTCTTCCTCTTAAGATCTAGAACTAATAAACGATGTTAGGTACTTAAATTCTCACTTGGAATGACCTTACAATCTTTACAATCTCGATGATCTCTTCTTCTCAAAAGAAAATAATCAATTTGGGTTCTATTAAACCACAAGCATCTATAGAACCCAAAAAAACAAAAAAACCTCATAAGCAGGTTGATGCGAAACTAAAGATGAGCAACTAAGAAGTACACTTATATTAATTTCTCCAAGAAAGAAAGTTGAACACAATAGGTTCAGAAGTAACATGTACCAAACCTTACCTTGGGTTCATCTTTTCTAATCCCAAGACCAGAGGAACTAACAATAGAATCGGTGCCCCATTTGACTGACCAATATCAGAAGAGAGTCTGATAGCAACATCCATGCAGACAACAGGAGCACCTCCACGCTCCCCGTCTTCATCACCAGAAATGACGTACAAGACCATGGGCAAAGTTGTTCTTCCTTGGTTGTGATCTCCATGGTCCCTATTAGCACGAACGAGAGTTTCCCATGTACGGCACATGGCATATGGACCCACCCATGATCCAGCAGACAAACCGTAAGCCGTTCCCGCTTTAAGCAAATTGTGAATGGAATATGGGCATGCCTCATAATCGCCAAAAAGATGTAATATTCCAACATATTCTCGATCATATGGCTGTGTAATTCAGAGGATGCCATCATTAGCAATCCATATGTTGCAAATATGAGGAACTTCATCAGCATTTATGCTGAACTTTCATACCTAAAACCTGAATTTTCATATTTACTAATATAACACTCAAACATTCAACATCAAATCAAAAATACCACTATGACTAACTTTTTAACAGTGAAATTCAGCTTTCCATGCATGGATTATGACACCAAAGTGTTATAAAAGTAAACATAAAAGTTTAGGTGTTGGATATGTAAATACATAAGAATTATGTAAATCCATATCTATCTATATATATATATATATATATATATATATTACAACTGAAGAACCTTCTCACCTTCTGCTGTGACTTTCTCCATGATCTCCCCAAGTGATGGCATAGCAATGCCTGAAAACAATTTCATAGTGAATTCAAATTAAGAGATAAAAGCAAAAGTTAATGAGTGTATCATGCTGTACAGAGAGCTACACCTGGGCAACAAGCATCTGACTGCTTCTAATCATGCAGCCCCAATTGACATCACTAGTGAACTTTGAGTCACCGATGGCATCAAAACCTGCAAGCAATTCAAAATTAGGAAATTACCTTACTGGCTAAGAGTCTAAAAATAAATCATCCATTCAAATAAGGTAGAAATATTGATAATAATCAAGGAAGAACTAACCTTTACGGTATGTAATCCAAATTTTTGATGAAAAATCTTCTAAAAATGCAGCTAGTCCACTATTAGTTTTCATTTCGGAAGATGATTCTCCGGGAGAAACCTTGTAGAAAGCACCCAATAGCCACATTTCACTAGTCAAGCTTGAAAAGTCAGCCTTGCTTGTCCCTAAGAAACGCTCCTGAAGTTTCCTCATCATGCCTCCTGTCACAACTTTCCTAACAGCAGTAGTCAGTCCATAGTTTCTAGATTTAACTTCCTTCTTATCAGGAGATGGACTGGAGATTGTCTCAAAAATGGGAAAGGTGGAAGAGAAGAATGTCAAGAACAAGGAAGCCTTTGGAGACCTACTGTGACTAGCTGATTGCTCCGTTTTTGAACCTACTGCCTGTGTATCCACTGGGTCACTTGATTGTCCTGCAGGAAAGTTTGAATTCACAGCTCTCTCAGCTGAGCTCGTCATCACCTAGAGATGCATGCACAGACAATAAAATATTGGTAACATTAACGATGGAGATGTGCAACATCTATTAAGCTAGAATATGTAAAAACAAAACAAAAAAACGTTGTCAATTAAAATTTAGATTGTGCTGGAATGATCAGCAGCACATAGCACATTCTGTGACTACAATATGCTATAGTCAACATAATCACAATATTGTAGTAGTAGTAACTGCTGTACGAACTAATGTAGCTTCAGAAAATAGTTAAGCCATGATTTAGAAAGTTTAAAATTTAGCTTCCCAAATCGACCAACATAATGTCAAAAATAGATTTATCTAAGGTCCTTCATTTAAATCATAACAACTACAGTCTGCATGACTATCCCTGGGTTGAGATTCACCAACCAACAGCTTCCTAAATTCCTAAAAAGGGACTTTTTTTTTTCTTTCATTTCATCCGGTTATTAAGGTATTTGGTTCATAGGATAGCTAACCACATACTGCTTCTATATATCAATATTCAAATCTAGGGGTGCAAACATTAATTAAAACAAATACTAATTGATACTTCAAATCAAATTTTCCCCTTTCTCGCAGCATATGATGAAACATTCTTGTACTAAGTTTTTTGCAATGCAAAGGGAACAACTCATTGAGCGGTAAAGAGGTAATAATGGGAGTTAAATACATACAGTTTATCCAATTGAGTGGTTATACAAGTACTCTTCTCCTTATAATATAATTCCACAATCATTTGGTCAACCTTCATTGATTTTCTTACTCAATCACATGTTCATTTGCTTTTGATTTTTTGTTTTTCTAAGGGGATTTCAAACATAACCATGGCAAAGCACCTATTTTTCATATCAAACATCTAAACTACCTAATTTATGTTTATGCCACCTAAAAATCCCTAATAGAAAGCATCTAAAACTCGTCTCAATTTCCTTAACACCGTTCCCTCGATTCCAATAAACCACACAAAATCACTTCCTGTCATGTCTAGCTCTTTAAGTCCTCAGGGAATTTTCATCGAGAGACAGCAATCGCTTCCCGCCAATGAACAAGCCTCTCTTTCTGAGTCCTTAGAGATTCTTTAACGAGAGAGAACCACAAAGGCAAATTGTTACAAACTAGGGTTTCAGCATCAGCCAGACTCGCCTCCTATGTTCTTTGTTCTTCTTTCATCTTCCACCGCCTTCATGTTTTTATTTTTTTTTTAATACAAATGTCTTACATTTTCATGGCATTCTCCTCTTTCACCTACTCTCCTCCTTTCAATTTTCACTCCTCTCAGTTCAATCTCGTTCTTAATCTCTTTCCTTTTTTTGAAGTGTAAAATATGGATATTCATTTCATTAGAAGGTGCGTCAAACATTTGCTCTTTGCAATTGTTGGCATAATTGGTTTTGCACAATTATCAAAGAAAAAAACAGAAATTCATTGATTCTACATCGCATATTAATGAAAAAAATTTAAGGTTCTAATGTCAACTAGTGATTTTCATATGTAATTTGGGAGTTGTTAATGCATTCCTCAGCAGGACAACTGTAGATTTTTCTTACATAGAGAAGAAATGTTAATGTTTTTAACACTTAACTGATAGAAATAGCATTTCTCAACCTTAGCTATTTGTACAGTGATTTGAAAGCATCAGATAGCACATGGACGTTTGTGATCTCCCCATGCATTCTTGACACGGAAAGGGACTAGTTTGTGTTATAGACTGCCTCATCTTGGGACAACTGATCTATGCATGCAGTCTTTAGTTTGCAGACATCAAACTCTCCTTGACAAAACTTCTCTTTCACTAAAGATCTGAATCTCAATCCCAAAGGATGTGTGGCTACAGCCCATCGCCACTTAATTCATATTATACCTCTGAGTTTGGTGGTAGTCTGGCACTCAGATATATACCAGCCCATCGCCACTTAGTTCATATTATACAGACTGGCACTCAGATAAATAACAATTTGTAAAATTGTAGGATTTTATTTTTAGCAAGTTATTGTCTATTCTATTTATCTTTTATTCTGGAGTTAGTATTGACGCTTTATTTATCATATTCTATGCAGCTCTATGTGCAAAATAGGTTTAGAAGGAAAATATTCATTGACATCATTATTCACATGTAGGGTACATATATATAGGGAAATCAATCCCTCCTAATTTACCAACTTACCAAATATATATATATTCTAAGTTTGGAAAGGAAATAATTCTGAAAAATAAAAATAGCAAAAAACATAAACAAAAAGAGAATATAACTAATTATAGAGTTTCAAAAGTTATCTCTCAATTCAATCTTCCATTATAAGTAGGTAGATGGCAGGCCCACCCAAAGAAATGGCATTATTTCCTATTTTTTCACACTCCCACTCAAGTTGGGTCGTAGATATTGTAGAAACCATGCTTGGTATTGAACTCTGAGAAGATACTTAAAGGAAGACCTTTGGTGAAGATATTAACAACTTATTAATGTGTTGGCATGCAACAGAGATGTATAATTCCGCCATAAACCTTTTCAGAAATAAAGTGTTTATCAACTTCAATATGCTTGGTTCTATCATAATGCACGAGATTCTTAGATATAATGATAGTTGTTTGACTACTATAAAATATTTGTATAGGGTTATTGAAGGCCTTAACAATTTCAGCATTCAGATCCCTTCATAATTCTCAAGGTGAATGCTCTATACCCAGATTCTACAATGTTTCTAGAAATAACAGCTTGCTTCTTACTTCTTCATGTAACCATATTTCTCGATACACAAAAGTAGTAACCAGTGACAGGCCGTCTGTCAATGAGTTCCCCAGCCTAACTAGCATGAGTGCAGACTTTTATACAATGACCTTCTATTATTTACAAAACTTCCATACTTGAACGTTCATCTACCTAATTACAATAGGTTTGTCATTGACCTTCTATCATTTAGAGGGATTCAGACGGCTCAAAAAGATACAGCCCAAAAGGAAGCAATGAGAGTTTTGTGGAGATATCTAACACTGTAGAATGCAGAACAATCTTGCATTCTTTTAACATGTGAAAAAGACAAAGCGATGCCACAATTCTTGCTTTCTATGGTAGAAGCATTTTAAAAGTTGAGAAAGATTGTAAATACAATTTTGTAGATTATTCATATTTTAGAAAAAAAAAAAAAAATTTTCATTATAAACAATTTTCTATTACAGAATAATGATATATGTATTTATATACTTTTCATTTTAGTCGACAGTTAACATTTGGTTTATGAATGACATTAGGAGATAAAAAATTTATTGGATTCATCTTGTTGAAACACTCACTTTAAGAAAATGTATGCAAAATTTAAAAGATCCTTCCTTGGGAAATTCAACTGATTAATATGTCTACCTTTCAATTTTGTCAGTCAAATTTCAGCCTTACGTGGCCAAATGGCAGTAATATGACATTACCACATTCACCAGAATACAATGCCAAAAAACTAAATAGATTCATACGGGTTGCCTAATCAATCCCACGGACTACAAAGAAATTAGATTGTCATGTACTAAATGAAAGTCATACTTTATCGGACTATAATGTTATAATCTGCAACATGTTTAATTGATATGAATTTGGAAGGCAAAGTGATGGACCTAAATATCAATAAAAAATAATAAACATAAACCAATCTCCAAACACCTTGATGATTCAGAAAACATCAAACTTCAAGCACAAATCTTCTTTAAACAGAAAAACACATCAACTATAAGTTGTTGTTCATAAGGGCATCGGTTCCACAAGTCTTAGCAATTACAACCAACACTTAATTAACATCAAACTTCATTCCTACCTTAAACAACTTACTAAACACTAAATATTACAAGCTCATAAAATATTCAAGACATCATATCTATCTTAAACACAGAAAAAGAAAATGAGAGCCACAATAATGACTCCTATTATCACATTTTAGCTGAGATGAACTCAAAATCTTTTCGTATAATCTGATTGTAAGCTCATAAGTGACACAAAATATCATTACTTCACAATTTAGCATCATCCAAGCAACAGAAATATATGCAGCGATCTTTTGATCAATTTCATGGACAATAATAAAGTTTTATTCCACTATTTTACCCCTTATGGCAGGTGCAAATAAGACGTTGTAAGTTGCATCCGCATTACACTTGGCTATATGGGACAATGCCCTATATTGCTGAAGACTAACTAAAACTCATTGTTGATGGAAGTTAGCCAAATAAACCTTAAACCGTTAAAAAATAACGTAAGATATATATATATATATATAGACCTTGTTGTGTTGCTACACAGCTACAGCTATAGAGTGTTCTGTAAAAAAGAAATTTCAATATGCCGAAAAATATATATTTCTGAAGTCAAACACTAAACATCTAAAAGGGGATGTCCTGTGTCAAATCCATGACCTGCCATATTCAAAATGCAAAGCAACAGATGAACTATATATAAATCCATGCATGATTACAACAGAAAAGTTCAAATTTCAATTTTAATGGTTACTAAATTAGTTAGTGCAGCTGGGCATGATCTCATAAATACCCCTTTATGGCCTGCAAATATGGTCCAACTTCTCTGAAAGAGGGTCCATACTTCAAAACTGAAATTAAGAGAGTTGATGCTGCAAACTTAACTTGAAAAGAACATTAAATCAGAGAGAAGCGGTGAAGCTGACAAATGCAGGAAAGAAGCATTAACCTTATGAAAGATTTTATTCTCACTAATGCTTGCATGTATTACAGCAGTATAGTGTAAATATATATAAACTTGCAGAATTCATTCCCTCTAAAAAGATCATTTAAAGGTCCACTTTTATGCAAACTTCTTATTGTAGCCCAAATGACATATCTCTATGTGAACTGCAGTAGAGATTAGCTGAAAAATCCAATTTCAAAGGAGTGATACCTCTATGTAAAATGCCTTGGATGGCAACTCGGGATGCCTTCGGCTAAGTGTGGAAGGACGAAATCGTAACGGTCACGACGGCAGGTAGTTCTCGTGAACTGGAAGAAGAATCATATGGACATGAAGGAAAAGGAAGGAGGAGAACTTTCGACTGCCACAGTGCATCGCTGGTGAAGGAAAGGGGGGGGAAGTGATACCGTGTGGTTTAACGGGATCGAGGGAACGGCGGTAGAGAAATTCAGACGGGGTGGTAGATGCATTCTATTAGGGATTTTTAGGCGGCATGAACGTAAATAAGTATGAAAAATAGGTGCTTCGCCGCGGTATATATCTAAATTCCCGCCCTTCTTTAGCATGTTTTCGATACAAAACGACGGATCAGAAAGTCGAAATCCCAAGACTTCATCCAAAGCATAAAAAAATTCAAACAGATATAAGCAACGAATTTTCTTGTTTCCCCAAACCATAAAAAAACTCCACTCTATTCCCCCGAACTGCTTGTATATCCAACAAAGTCGTTGATGCAAGCCCTAAAGCATTTGTCGCCGATTCAAATAACTCAAGAAATTTGCAAAACAAAAGGAAAAATACCTGAGGACGAGTAAGGGAATCGAGACGTGTTCCTCTATGGAAAGCTTTCTCCAACAGCCTCGTCCGAGTCCATTGAAGATCGGCGTCTATTGCAAGCGGCGACGAAATGGAATATTCCGGCGAACTCAGTCGACCGACTCATGGTAAATGGGAGCTCATCTCCGAAACACAAAATTTTGACAGAGATTCTTCCGAAGTTGATCGGAATTGTATGATGTAAGTAATTTCGTTTGCATTATGCCGATGCGTGCCGGTGGAAAATTCAGTTAAACGGCGTTGCGTGTGACAGCCTGATACGATAACTCTAGCGGCGCAAGTGAGTCAACCCAGTCTTGGGCTCAGCTTGATGAGCTAATGAGTCAAATTCAAGCCAGTCTCAACTCTACTTATTAATTCTTGAGCTAATTTATTTAAAAATATTAACATAAAGTTTATTCAAAATATATTATAATTCAAAACTTTATCTTTAAGGTAAAAAGAATGTTAAGAAAATAGTATTTTTACTATATATTAGGTGATTTATTACAATTTATCTTCTTGATTCGTCCTATTTCAGAGTTATTTTAAATTAATATTATTTTCTCTTTTTTTATATATTAAATAAATCGGCTCGCGAGCTAGCTTGAATTTGTAAACTTAAGCTCGAGCTCGAGCTCAATAAAAGTAATCAAGCTCTGGCTCTAGCCAGGGCGGCCTGAGCTTGGCTCAACTCGCTCACACCCCTAACATTAGCTATGCATGAAAATATATATTTTACATTTTAAAAGTTAATAATAATAACTTTGTTATGTAAAATTAATGATTTGAGTGTTAAGTTCTTAAATATGAAAGCTTGAGTGCTGAATATATAAATCAATAAGGACTGTGGTGTCAATGTAAACCCCTCTTTTATATTTTTTTAACACATATAATAAAATGATATTCTTATAAACGTAGTACTTTTAAAAGTAATATATACATGATACGCCTCCAAAAAATTTTTATTATCAGGTATGAATCTCGAAATATGACACGGATCTCGAGATAATATATTGATAAGAGGATGTTCAAACCTCGATAAAAGCTCATCCAGAGCTCTGATTTCAACAAACTTATAGTCAAACTTACCAGCTCAATGAGACGGACAAAATGATATCAAAGTCAGTCCAATCCGAGTCAAATCAAGCCGAAATCAAGTCATTAAATCATTCTTGAAAGATTTTTTGACACATTTTGAAGATCAAACGGTTGTCAAATCTGGCGAATTTATAGTTGAATCAAGCGTCTCGACAAGACGAATCCAAAGAGCCCAAAATCGCTCAATTTTGACATTATTAAGGAACTTAAACGTCCATTAAAAATCTTCTAATTGAAGAAAGCTATCTGGACCGTTCGATCAAAATGATTCGTACTCTTGCCTTAATTGCACCCATAACACTATAAATAGACCCCTACTCCTCAAATAAAGAAGAGTTGAAGTCTAGAGATAGAGTTTGAGGCCTTGATGAAGAGTTGTAGCTCAACATCACTGCTGACCGACATCGATCACTGTTGACCGTCGTAAACTACTGTCGATAGTCGTCGACCACCGTTGACCGTCACCGACCTCCGTCGACCACCATCGACCGTCATCCACCACTGTCGATCGTCGTCGACTACCACCAACCAAACACTGTCAGTTAATGTTATAACTTGGAAAATCTAGTAACAATTTCTTATTTGTTGAATAAGAGATATTCACTACGGTTCATGTGCCAACAACGACCTACGCATTCATCAGTTCATGGAGCTCGTAATTCTGGTCCCCCAGCCTACGGACGTCATTCATATTTGCTCCAACGATTTACGTGTTCATCAGCTCATGCAACTTCTGACACCGACCCCCGCATCCTACGGACGTCATTCGTACTCGCCCCTACAACCTACATGGTTCACAACTCATGCTCTTCTCGACTCCGGCCCCCACGACCTACATATGTCATTCATATTCTTCACTACAACCTATGTGTTCCACAACTCTTACAACTGCTTACAACGATTTCTCTGGTCAATCAACACTTTTGGAGCAACCATCTACAACACTCATAACGGACTACTACCTTCATAACAACCAACAACAACCCTTGAAACATGTTGTCACTAAGAACTGCAACCAGATTATAGTTATACAACTTTGTAATTCTATCTTTCCTAATTTAGGAAAAGAATGAATTTGTGTATCTATCATTCATAGTGGATTATTTCAAGTGGGCTAGACCCCGTGATTTTTCCCCATTTCAAGGGGTTTTCACGCAAAAAGTTGAGTTGTCTCTTTTCGCTTGCTTCTTTTCTTTTATATGTGTCTGTTGAATTCTCATGCAACACTAAGACGATAATCCATTACTCTGCTACCACGAATTTTCTAGTACGCATCATTTTGGCGTCGTTTGCGGGAAGCGAAGTCATGTTCGACATTGTCTTTAACTCAAAGACACTGAGCCCTTACTTCCTTTCTCAGTGATTTACTTCATCCAACAAGCGAAGGAATCTCCTTCACACCATGAAGATCATCTCTGATACATTCTTCATTATGGGGGGGCAACCTTTACTGCAGTCTCGAAATGTCGTTCACATTAATGTCCTGGGCACAATTGTAGTTGGTTGTCTTCTTACATCTTATTCAGACATAAAGTATTTCACAACTTCTTCCAGGCTGAGGGTAACCTTAACTGTAGTCTCAAAATGTCGTTTCTGTTAACATCACAGGCAAGACTATGGTGGGGAAGGCATCCCACGTTTCATTCATATTATAAGTCTATGAGAATTGCTCTTATTTTATCTTTTCATTTGCTTTTCCCTCTTTTATTTTATAATGAGTCGTCAGATTATCGATTGTCACATACCTCCCTCATTCGGATAATTCTCCCTCCTGAATCAGATCAGTGACTCGAAGAGTAAATGAACCAAATAAGAACGGACATACTACAAAGTGACAAATAAGAGAAAACACAAAGTGGAGAGAGTTTGTGTGCACTACGTGCGGTAAACCTTGCAATGATAGGTTAAGAGTGTCCGCCCAAACAAGATCGGATGAAAGCACCTTAAATTGATATCCGCGAAAGAATACCTACGTAAACTACCAAATACTAGTGAGTCAGGTGTAGGTGTATGTTATGTGGTCAAGAGCACTCCCAAGGGAATGTATCCCACTAATTTAATTACATGTTGGGGGTACCTAAGAATAATCTTGATAAAAGGAGTTTCACTTGGATTATCGTGAACCTGGGGCAATAGGTACTCAAAGGAAGGTTATTACGCGTGAGAAAAGTCCTAATGTTTCAAAGCTTACATACTCAAAGGAAGGTTATTACGCGTGAGAAAAGTCCCAATGTTTCAAAGCTCACACTAAGTCATCGGGCAGAGAGTGAGTCTCTCACATCCCGAATGGGTAGCGGCTCATCAGCATACAAAGCCAACGGAATAACCTAAATCATCTTGAAGGGGGTATCCCAACACATCAAAGCACGTGCGATCACGTACGATCTATAAGGGCAGAGGACAAATCGTCGTATCCCAAATAAACACACTTCATCAGCATCTAATCGTCAAAATGATGTTAACAAACTCAATGAGCAACATGGCACGAAGGGGCAACAAAAGGAAGGTTGAGTAATCCTAGAAGGTAGAGATAATTGGGTTTAGGTACCATGACCCGTTATCCACAGCTACTGGGACCCTAAGTCCACCAAGCCGTGAAGATAGTCGACCTAACATGTCTTGAGATCCCCGATCAGCAATCCGTGAATTGTGTCATACACGGGAACCTTGGTAGCCCTAAGGTCAAAGAAAGGAAATTATATTCTATGAATATCGGTCTAAGCTTGATGCGGGCAGATTTAATGTGAGAAATTTGCAAATATTTTTCGATATTACAAAATTGCACATGACAGATATATAATAAATATGCAATATAATCTAAAAAAAATACTTTTTATGAAAATAATTTATTTTTTAAAACTCTTTTTAAACTGTCAAATCCCCTTTAAAATTAACACAAATATATGTGTCACTCAAGTAATAAAGGGCCCTACTGGAGACATAGATATCGATCCCACAAAAAGTTGGAAAATCCTAAAAGTAAATTATGAAAATTATTTTATAATATCAAATACAAAAATAAAAGTAAAAGTAAAGTGCGAAGTTTGAAAATTAACTACTCAAGTGAATGCTAATTAAAATGCAGATATAAGACTACAGAAGTTAAACAAAACTAAATACTAAAATTTCAAAAGTAAAGTTACGTTAAACTAAACTAAATACTAAAATTTCAAAAGTAAAGTTACAATATATATAATGTTTTATGCCAAATAGAAGCAATCCTATTATTTACCCTCTTCCGAGTGCTATAAAAAATATTAACTAATCCAGGGTTTGGTCCCTAATACGTGATTAGGCTGGGAGGATACCATCTGCCACTTCAGAGCTCTCATTACTCCCTCACCTGAGGGCTAACAATCTCACATCAGTTTCCAATCAACTGGACCAAATTGGGGATTTTAATATATCACCTTAAAATCTCCAATTCTGCATCCAACAAAATATATTAATCTCATGGATGACATAATCTCTCATGACATCAAATGTTATTCTCTCTATGTTGTAAAAACATATCTCATTTAAGAGCATATGTCTCTCAACAACTTTTAACATTTCAATTGGTCATATCGAAAAGTAAATGAAAACCGGAGTTCAAATCATCACAAATTATTATCATTTAAAACCGTGGAAAACAAAATTTATTCTTCACAAAATCATATCTCAGAGTAAGAAGAAAGATAAAGAAGACTACTCAGAATTCATGAGAATGATACGACAAAGCATGGATTTCATATATGAAAACAAGTTTACAAAAAAAAGAAATAAAAATACAATTTATCTCACAATCATTCCCAAGCAAATCCCTAGAAGTTATCTCAAAGTTTTTCTCTCTTTACAATTACCCTCAATTCTCTCTTAGAAGTGTAATGAAGAAGAAATTTTTCACCTTTTCTCTCATCTAACAACCCTAGAAGAAAATCTTCTCTTCTCTCTTTATCTCTAACTCACGTCAACTTTCTCTCTTCCTCACTCCACACACTTTACAAATGAGAAGTCTTACTCTAAGTCTTGCTTTATTTTAGGCTGCCTCATTTGGAAAATAATTCAAAATTTCCTCTAAAAATCAATTCCCTCCAAAAGTTCCCTCCAAACATCAACTCTTTTGAATTCAAAAGATATGTCATTTGATCCAAGAGACGGTGTCATTTGATCCAAGAGTCATATCGCTTCATAAAAGAACCTTACAAGT